TCTTGTTTATCCCCAGGGGTGTCCCTATTATTATATACCTTTTGAGCGATCTCAACCAATTTGGAGCAATTCATTCCTTCGAAACCTTTAGCTTTTGGAGCTTTTATCTAATATCTTGGGCTGACTGAGTAACAAAGGCCACATTTATAGGCTGGTGGTTTTCTGAAGTGTCCGGGTCTGTTGGGGTATATACCCAGTATACTTCACAAAGTCGCTCCAGAAAAGCAGCAGGAGATTCCTGCAGTCTCTGAATCACTTCTGACACCTTGGATAAATTAGTAGACTTTCTAGCAGCCGCTTTTAATCCCATTAATAAGATCCGGTGAGTAGTATTGGGATCCCATCTGGGAAACACGCCATCAATTCCATCCCCATTTTCTTCTAAGGATCCTTCCACCAGGGCCCAAATCCGCCTTTCTGGTCTCTGGTTTAATGTTATCCCTCTCTTCTGAAGTAAAGAGGGTGTGAAAGATAATTTCTAGGAGGCCGATGAGAGTCTGCAGCTTTTCGGAGAAGGGGGTATTCCAAGCTCTCTAGTTATAAAGATCACTTGTAGAGAATGGGCCATAAGACTATGAATGATCACCTCCCCCCCAAGATTCCCATCCGCCAGGGGAGCTTCCCTCAGAGGTAAGATGGCCTTCCCCGGAGAAGCCCCCCAACTCCCGCATGCCTGGTCACAGGGCGTCCCTCTCTGCCTCCCCAGAGTGGGAGGGAGGCTGGAGGTCCTGCAGCTGTGGCAGGCTCCTGGAGGCTGTATTGCTGGTGGCTACTGTGGGGCCACTCCCCCTGCTAGGTGCAGCAGCCCAAGGATTATAAGGAGGGGGATTTGACTCCTCTGAAAGGGGGCGGAAGGACGGGGGTCCCATCCTCAGGTTTCTCTGGGCCCCACTACCAGTATTTGTGCCCTGGTCTGGAGTGCACAGGTTCTTTACCCATGGAGGTGGATGTCTCACTAAATTAAGCTATTGATCAATATAGGGGAATGGTCAAGGTGTCCTGGATCCCCTGTGACCTGATTCCAAACTGCCTGCATTAACTCAGGGTTAAAGGATCCCGTGTCAGGCCGGCCCACCCCGAATGTGGGTCAATTTAATTCACAGAGGGTCCTTAACTTTCCTTTAGATATATTTTTTTTTTTATCCTCACTCGAGGACATTTTTCCATTTATTGTTCAGGTAGAGTGGGAGGAAGAGAGAGAGAGAGAAACATCGATGTGAAAGGAACACGACCAGGGCCGGAGACAAACTGCAACCGAGGTACATGCCCTTAGCGGGAACCGAACCCGGGTCTCTCAGGACCGCAGGCCGATGCTCTAACCGCTGAACCAAATCGGCCAGGGCTCCTTTAGATATTTTTGTGCTCTAATCAGAACCTTCTGTCCGATAGCCTGGGGACTGGCGCCAGGCAAAGTGCTCGACCATTGTCTTGCTTGCTCAGCCTTGTCTCCCACCCTGAACAGCCTGCCTCGAGCTTGTAGATTAACTCCCATCTTGCTCTTATCAATTCACATTCCAGAGGCTCCATGCATAGCCCCCGCAGGGCCAAACCCTAAGGGACAAATTCCTGCTGCAACGGGCAGATATAAAAAGCACAAACCCCAGCATCGGGCGCCGCTTCTAGGACTCGAGCCCCGGAGTCTGTGAACCCGCCCGGAGTGTACCCAATAAAGCCTGATCCCTGTTTATTCGGCTGATTGGCTCTCAGTCTCTTCTCTGTGTTATTCGGCGGCGCCCCCGATTCCTTATACCTTCCTCAAATCCTTCTCTAAAAAATGTTTCAATCTGCAACCCAATAAGGTCTTCTGGGCACTATGGCTGCTATCCATGATTAGACTAACCGTAACAAAGTTGAGGGAGACACAGTAGGGAGATGGACAAGGACAAAAACAAGGGAAGACACACAAGACAGAAATTTTCATTTCGTCCACCTGGCCACTCTCCTCACGGAGATTTAGGCATCTCTGGGCATGGGCAGGCCAGTATAACCCCCCAGCACAGGTCAGGTTCACAGGTGGGACACCAGAATGCCCCAAGAACCTGATACTGCCCTTACTTAGCCTTATGAGGTCGTCACAGAACCACAGGTATGGACTCACACAGGCTGCGTAACAAGTGTTGTGGAACATGGTTATTCACACACAAATACATTCACACACAATCACACTCCAAAAACTCCCTTGGGAGGTAATCAGTGTTGACCTCACTCAGACACAAAGTTGGGTGAATTAAAGGTAAGCTTTATTACCTACGCAGGGACTGCAGCCAGCCTACACAGAGAACTGCAGCCCGGAGCAGCAGAATTTCAGGCCTTTTATAATCAGGATTAAGCAAGCTTGTGACAGAGATGGATAGCAACAGTTAGCCAGGCGCAATACATATATTTTTAACAGTTACAGTTTTATGGGGCAAAAGGGAGCTTCAGTTTCTCCCTATCAGCCCATCTACAGAGCATGCATGACCCTCTGACCTTAGGGCCTTTTCTGTTTCTGTCCTCCCTTTTTCTGGAGAATGTTGCCCCTCAAATTCCCAGTGAAGGTCAAACTTTGGTTAACCTTTATGGGGCTAAAAGGCATTGTAACATTCCCCATTGTTTACCTTGCTGTCCCTGAGGCTGTCAATCAGGGCAGCTTAAGGACAAGTTGCTTTTCTTTACTGAATTCCAAGGATCGTGAGCTATAACAGAGAGGAGAGGCTGCGCTGGTCCGGCCCTCTCACTCTCACCCAGAAAGACCGGTCACCCAAAACTCAGCACTGGAGACTTTTTACCAGGTCTCCTTAAATCTTTTGGGGACGTCTTGGCATCTCCTGGCCGCTTGTGAAACCTAAGTTTATCGCGGTTAATCCGTTCCAGACTCTAGTGGTTGCACCTGGCACTGAAGGATTCCTGGGGTGCTTGAATACATAGGGCTACAGTCCAAATGTACAGTAATTTTAATTGTAATTGTAATACAGGGGTGTATAATTGACTCAGAAAACGAGCTTGTGCTATATCATTTGCACTGTCTCGATCAACTTTTGAATGAATATATTTTTAAAAGCCACCATAGAGTGACGCCACAAAAAGGGTCCACCGTACCTCCGGAGTGACCCTAATCTCATTTTCCGGCCTAGGAAGTGGGCGGAGCCAAGCTCAGCGAGCCGCGCCTCCGTGCGTTCAGTTTCAGGGCCAGGACCGCAGAGCGCAGGCGCGGCCCCACGCCTCAGCGCCATCTTCCCAGGCGTGCTCCGGCGCTCCGCCCAGACCGGCGCCCACCGTCTCCAAGGCAGCCCCCATCAGGAGGCTCCGGAGTGGAGGGGCACTAGAGACGCAGCCGAGGCCCCTGCGCCTTGGCGCACACGCGGCTCTGCGGCCTGAGGCACCGGGAGGAGTCCCCGCGCGAGCGGGGTGTGGCGCCATCGCGCGACCGTGACGTCAGGCTTTGGCAGCGCGCGATTGGCCGGCCGACATGTGGAGCGCTCGGGCGTGGGCGTGGGCTCGGGCGCGGGTAATTGGGCGCCTGGCGTCTGGGTTCTGGGCAGCGCCGCTGAGCCCGAGGGAGGCAGAGCGGCAGCCTACGGACTGTTGGCGCCTCAGGTTCAGTGCACCCCGGAGGGGAGAAGAGGGGCTCCTAGGGTCTCCAGGGGGAGAGACGGGGTAGGTTCTCGAGAGGGAGAGAGGGGGTGCTGGTCCCTAGGGGGGAAGGCGAGGAGTGGAGAGATGGGTGTTCCCGAGAGGAGACTGAGGGCTCACGGTGTTCCCGAGGGAGAGACCGGTCGTGGAGGTCCCCGAGGGGAGAGACGGGGTGGGTCCTCGAGGGGGACACATCGGGGGGCAGGTCCCGAGAGTCCCGGAGACTCAGCACAGCTCAGTGAGCTTCGGTCGGGAGGCACCAACTTCAGCCTGTGCACAAATACGGCCCCGCCGCCTGTTACATCGCGTGCAGAGTGGTTTTCAGGCTTAGTTGTTTACAGGAGGCAGGCGGGAGAAGAAAACATTGGTAGTTTGTGGAAATGGAGTGAAAGGCCAGTTTCACGGTCCACCAGCGGCGTTTCCGTGAACAGTTCACTCGCGGCCCGCAGCGGCGGTGGCACGGCCGGGAGGGGCGATGCTCGCCGCCACGGTGAACCGGCTGCACCAGCTGCACCAGCTGCACCAGCGGTGGGGGCACTTACTGTGCTGCCCTTGGAGAAGGGACGCAGCAGTCGCGGCCTTATTGGGAGCCCGGAGCCCCGGTTGAGATCAATGGGTTAAACCTTACTGGGGTATTGCTAAAAAGTATTGGGCACAGAGACTGGACCTTGAGAAATGGATTTGAACAGAGATCGATATGTGGCATAGAAGAGAATGACAACACATTTGTAATGTGTTGCCGTATAAGCCACATTAATGTATGTAATTTATAACATGGGTTATCATAGACAATACAGAAATGTTGACAAGTAGGATGAAAAGTGAGGTTGGGACTAGATCACAGATGGACAGACGCCTAAGGAAGAGAAGTGTGCAGAGGGAGAGGGCTGCCTGTCAAGTGCTGCACAGGGTCTCCCAGGACACGGTCTGGCAGTTCAGAATGGCTGTGATAGGACAGGTCATGGCCTGTGGGAGAAATGATGGCCAAGATGGGGCTGAATGATGGGGAATAAGAGCAGTGGGAATGCCAACAGCAGCAAGCACAGTTCTTAACCCTCTGAAGTGGCTTACTTGCTTACTGGGCTCATGGATTCAGAATTGATTTGTCACTGTTGTTTTTTTAATCCTCACCCTAGGACATTTTTGCATTCATCTTCAGATAGAGTGGGAGGGAGAGAGGGAGGAAGAGAGAGAGAGAATCGTCGAGTGGTTGCCACCCACACAACCCCAACCCTGGCCGGGGACAAACTGCAACTGAGGTATGTGCCCTTAGCAGGAACCAAATCCGGGACTCTGGTCCTTGGGCCAGTGCTCTAACCGCTGAGCAAAACCGGCCAGGGCTTGTCACTGTTTTTATGTGAGGATTTGAGAAATGTGATGTAATGGCCTTTATTTTTCTTTTCTCTTAGGATTCTAGGACCATCAGACATGTTATAACAATGCCTGAAATCAACACCGACAATCTTGATAAGCAACAGGTTCAGCTCCTGGCGGAGATGTGTATTCTTATTGATGAAAATGACAATAAAATTGGGGCTGAGACCAAAAAGAATTGTCACCTGAATGAAAACATTGAGAAAGGTACTGTTTTAAAATACTTTGTGAGAAATGACATGCCTACGCATTTTATGGTAGCTGAGAAAAGTATGTTGGTTAACAATGTGATGTTAATCATATTTTATCTCTGGTTCCAGTTAGTTGGGTGGTGCAGTGACAAAACCTGCATTGCTGCCCCATTTCATGTCTTTTACCCAGCTTCTTTGCGATTACTTTGGTTTGTAAAAAAGAGAATAGACTAACCCTAGAAGAGTAGCACTTGTCAAGCCTATAATGCTTTCTTTCTAGTGAATGGAGAAAGAGACAAGTGTCAGAAAAGGAAGCACATGCCTTCCCAGTTTTCTCAGGAGGAGGCTTACTAAGCCCAATATCCTTGGAGGGGAGATTGGCCATTAGCAGACTGGTTGACAGATCACCATTTCTTTCACTTGGTGGTCTACTTCTTTGCTGGTATGCCAGAGCTCTTCTCCATTGTAACCATGGGGAGACTCACGAAATACAAGACAATGGGAAAAAGCAGAAATACCAGCAAGTTACTAATACCCTGAATCCCAAGTATAGGATCAGGCACATAACTGGTGTTTTAAAACTACATTTATAGTATTGTTTTTGCTTTCAGGATTATTGCATCGAGCTTTTAGTGTCTTCTTATTCAATACTGAAAATAAGCTCCTGCTACAACAGAGATCAGATGCTAAAATTACCTTTCCAGGTTAGTGTGCGTGATGTACAGTATTTTGTTGAGAACGATATTTAATTTGACTTTGTCACTTGGAACTTTCTGGTTTGTCACTGTCAAAAAGGGAAATCCTGTGAATGACATAATTTCATATTCTACATAAAAGAAACGTATACAGTAAGTGCAACTTAATAAAATAGCAATAAAGGATAAAAACTGCTAGGTGTATATATGCATATATATATTTTTTAATCCATCTTACACATATTTTGATCTTTTTGGTTAAGAAATCATTAATAGCCCTGGCCGGTTTGGCTCAGTGGTTAGAGCGTCGGCCTGTGGTCCTGAGAGACCTGGGTTCAGTTCCCGCTAAGGGCGCGTACCTCGGTTGCAGTTTGTCCCCAGCCCTGGTCGGTTGTGCGGGTGGCAGCCACTCGATGTGTTCCTTTCACGTCGATGCTTTTCTCACTCTCTCCCTCCCACTCTACCTGAACAAAAAATGGAAAAATGTCCTTGGGTGAGGATTAAAAAAAAAAAGAAAGAAAGAAATCATTAATAAAGAACTTATCTACACATATCTGTTTCACAAAATGATGACTAATAGTTCATTATAACTGATTTAGAAATCAATCCTCAAGACTCATTTTGGGGGGGGGGAGGAGAAACATCTATTACAAAAATAAAAAAAAAAAAAGACTCATTTAATTTTTTTTATTACTTCTATTTTATTTAATTAATTAATTTATTTTTTATCCTCACCCGAGGACATTTTTCCATTTTTTGTTCAGATAGAGTGGGAGGGAGAGAGAGGAAGACCGAGAGAGAAAACATCATTGTGAAACGGATACATTGAGTGGTTGCCACCCACATGACCCAACCAGGGCCGGGGACAAACTGCAACTGAGGTATGTGCCCTTAGCGGGAACCGAACCTGGGTCTCTCTGGACCACAGGCCAATGCTCTAACCGCTGAGCCAAACCAGCCAGGGCTAATTTTTTTATTACTTTTAAAACTTTGGGTTTTCTTGATCTAGACCTACTTTGAACAAAAGTTAATCTACATCTGTATTAACATGTTCCAGGTTGTTTTACCAATACTTGTTGTAGCCATCCTTTAAGTAACCCAGGAGAGCATGAAGAAAATGATGCAATTGGAGTAAGGCAGCAGCACAGAGGCGTTTAAAGGCTGAATTGGGAATTCCCATGGAACAGGTAAACAGGTTGACTGTACAGCCAACCCATACAAGGTGAAATCTAAACATATTAAAACATTTCTCATTAAAATTTTAAACTCAAGTGTAGGTTTCTGCTTTGTAACCTCTTGAGTTATTGGCCCCCAAAAACCACCTTCAATAAAGAATATTTAAATTTTTATTTCTTAATATTACTTGTCAGAATATACCTCAGTATAGAAACAGATTGATCTGTTAACCAGTATAAAAGTTGACTTTTTATAATTGATCATAGCAAAGATTAATATTGTGGAAATCCTTAGGAATATCAACCACAACTCTGGGTGAACTGAAATCATCCCATGCCCCCCCCCCCCCAGTATTGTTTCCTTTAGGTAAGACTTGAATAAACAAAGTACTTCTCATCTAGTTAAATGGTAAATATTTTTTCCCAAAAAGTAATATTAAGATGTGAAGGAGCCCTGGCCAGTTTGGCTCAGCGGTTAGAGCATCGGCCTGCGGTCCCCAGAGACCCGGGTTCGGTTCCCGCTAAGGGCGCGTACCTCGGTTGCAGTTTGTCCCCAGCCCTGGTTGGTTGTGTGGGTGGCAGCCACTCGATGTGTCCCTTTCACGTCGATGTTTCTCTCTCTCTCTCTGTTCCTCTTTCTCTCTCTATTCCTCTCTCCCTCCCACTCTATCTGAACAAAAAAATGTCCTCGGGTGAGGATTAAAAAAAAAAAAAAAAAAGATGTGAAGGAGAATATCACTATTCCAGTTTGAGTGACTGTTTTGTTGGTAATCCTCACCTGAGGATATTTTCCTATTTATCTTCAGATAGAGGGAGAAGGGAGAGGGAGAGAGAAACATCGATGTGAGAGACATATCATTGGTTGCCTCCTGCAAGACCCCGACAAGGGCTGGGGATCAATTCTGGAACCCAGGTACATGTCCTTGACTGGGAATCAAAACCTGAGACCCTTCGGTCTGTAGGCCAACACTCTAATCACTGAGCCAGACTGGCCAGGGCTGAGTGACTTTTTTTTTTTAAATCCCCACCTGCGGATATTTTTTTCATTTACTTTCAGACAGAGTTGTAGAGAGAAACATTGACGTGAGAGAGACACACCGATTGGTTGCCTCCTGCAGGACCCCAACCGGAGCTGGGGACCAAACCACAACCGAGGTATGTGCCCTTGACCAGAATCAAACCTGCGACTCTGGTCCTTGGGCTGACATTGTAACCGCTGAACCAAGCAGGCCAGGGCTGACTTTTTTTTAATGTAAAATTCAATAAATCAACTTGTAATTTTGGTCCTATGGAAAAAATTTAGATGCTTGAAACTATGTCGTAATATTTCCATATATCATTAGTAGAAAATTAATATTCTAAAAGTCCTAACTAAAACTCTACTGTTCAAGATAGTACTAAAATGTGGTTGGTTAGATTACTTGTTTTGTTGATGTTGTTACTGCTTCACTTTCATCCTAGGTTCCTCCAGAAGACATAAATTATCTGACCCGAATTCACTACAAGGCTCAGTCTGATAGTATCTGGGGAGAACATGAAATTGATTACATTTGTTTGTGAGAAAGAACGTGACTTTGAATCCAGACCCCAATGAGATTAAAAGCTATGAATACGTGTCAAAGGAAGAGGTGGGAGAAATGCTGAAAAAGGCAGCCAGTGGTGAAATTAAGATAACTCCATGGTTTCAAAGTATTGCAGAGGCTTTTCTCTTTAAATGGTGGGATAACTTAAATAATTTGAATCATTTGTTGACCATGAGAAAATACACAGAATGTGAACGTGGAGATGAATAATTAGTAAAGTACTAAAAAATTTTTCTACTTAGTAAAACTTAAAATGACTTTTTAAAAATTTGGTTTCCCATTTAACTCTTATTGGATACATTAATACTTTACAACCAGAATTTGTGTGGAAAAGACAGCTGACTTATTTGTATCACACACCCCACATATATGCACTGCTATTTGTAAAGGACATTTATGAGAGATTATTATTTTGTTGTTAATCCTCACCCGAGGGTATTTTTCCAGATAGAGTATTTTTAAAAAGAGAGAGTAAATAAACTAAACTAAACCTGTCTGAACACACACACGGTCCTGACAAATGGGACAAATATGTGAAGCTCGTCAGTTTCAATGTGTTGAGACAAACATTTTCAGAACACCTGAGAGCACTTTATTTGCCAGGTGCTTTTCATATCATTAAATTTTTATTGTCCAGAAAAATGTACAATAGGTCCAGCAGCTGGAGCATCAGCCTGCAGACCAGAGAGTCCTGGGTTTGGTTCCTGCTAGGGGCACGTACAAAAAAAAAAAAAGATCTCCCAGAAAAATGTACAACAGAAATTGTTTGCTTAGCTACTTCAGAACAGCTCAAATTAACCTTCCATCATAAGATATTAAACTAGGAGGAGCATGTCCAAGGTAATTAAATGATGTATGTCCTGACTTCTATCAAAGTCTGTATTCTCAGAATTACAGGGGACAGACAGACAGGCTATTTGTAAAATGGAAATTGTGTCATACTCTACCACAAGGGGGTCTTACCACTGGTTCTGTTGACATTTGGGTTGGATAATTCTTTGTTGTGGGGTTCATCCTGTGCATTAAAGGATATTTAGCAGCATTCCTGGGTTCTACCCACTAAATGTCATTGGTACCCATCCCCCCATCACAGTCACTGACTACAGATGCCAAATGTGAGCTGGAGGGCAAAGGTGCTCCCATTGAGAACCACTGTTCTACAAAGTCATGCTATGTAGGAAAAGTGGGGGGAACCAGGGCATTAAGCAGAATGGTTAATACCCATGTTAAATGGCATTGCGGTTTGGGATATGTATGTATTAACAGTTAAACTGTATCTTCATGCATTTTTAAAACTCTTGCATAGATTTCTCAAATTTGAAATCTCAAGACAGCTTTATTCTTGATTGCTATGTAATAATGAAAAAGAAAAATTTGTTTCTTACAAGCTAAATGTTTTATAAATTCAATAGAATAATCCATTTCTTGTTAACACCAAAATTAATTAATAATTTCAGGGAAGATGGTCGTAAGTATTTTACTGAAAAATAAAAACAATGAAAAAACTATAATACTCGTCTAGTTGAAATTTTAATATAAGTTAACTTGCGTATGGTAGCTTAAACATAATGCCATATAGCTTCAAAGTACAGTCATAACATTATTTCTAGTTTTCTTTTCCAGGAAGTTTTAGACTGAAAGTCACATGTGACTTGTTACTCAGCTACAATGGCTAGTGGCCGCTATACTAGACAGTGGAGCCTTAGACCAGCACTTGGCACTTTGTAAGTGCTCAGCAAGTGTTACATATTCCACTGTTACCACACTAGAATGCTCCTTTTCTTTGACCTGATGAACTCCTTACAACTCACTCATTCAGTTGAGACTAAAAAGAATTCCTGAAAGGGCCTGAGGTGGTTCAATTCATTCTGTCCCCAAATCTTTTTTACCCAGAGAAAAAGCAAAAAAAGATTGTGGGTGGAAGGGGGCCATGTTATTCTCTTATTTGGTCCTAGCAGAAGGGTCAGGCAGAGATGAAATGACATTCGGGTAGTTGTCCAAGTAGGTCTTTCTCAGGTGGAAACTGTCCTTCCATCTTCTCCCTGGGGAACACTTAACCTGATGGTTCATTCCTCAGATGGGTCTACCCTCTCCAGGGTTGAGGGCCCATCTTCCTGTGAGTTTGTGGATGGCCACACCCACATTTGGGTAACCCAGATCTCTTCTGACAGCGTAGGTATTCTGCTATACCTTTCTCACCTAATTGGATGCTTTTTGAGTCCTAAACCTGTACCCACATTTTAGAGTGAACTTGAGTGTACATTTGTACAAACTTAAGAATCCTGACAATTTTTCACAATTTATCATCTACATTCTTTAGGCTCACAGATTTAAGTCTCCATTGGAATTCCATTTCATATTCAAGACGATTCTGCTTGTGTGTATAAGTAGATCTCCCACACTTCGGTTCCAAACCAAGTCCTGACAGGTGCCCCTCCCCTACTTGGCCTCAGTTTCCCTTTTCCCATTGCTAAACACTTTGGAGTCTCCCCTTCCCTCTCACACTGTATATCCAATTAGTCCTTGGAATAAGCCCCTTCCCCGCTACTCTGAGTCCAGGCCATCCTTGCATTGCTCCAAGTGGGTGGCACGGCCACACTCACCTCAACATCTGCTCTCAATCAGGCAGCTAGTGGTCGTGTATCGTTTCACCCCTCTGCTCAGAATGCATAGCAGCCTCCAGACCCCAGGACATGTCTACCCCACTGATCTCAACCCTTCATTGCTTGCTCTGCACAGCCACCCTGGGAACACCAAGCTTGCTCCCCTCTAGGTCTTCTGTTGCTTCTTCCTATAAAACTAGGGGAAAAAAAAATTCTTTTAAAATCCTCGCCCAAGGATATTCTCCCATTTAGCTTTAGAGTGGGAGGGAGGGAGGGAAACATTGATGCAAGAGGGACACATTGACCGGTCGCCTCCTGCACAAACCTGACCATGGCTGGGGACGAACCACAACTGAGGCACGTACCCCTGATCAGAATCAAACCCATGACGCATCAGTCTGCATGCTGACGCTCTAACCACTGAACCAAACCTGTCAGGGCTCTATAGGAAAACTTTAAAAACAAATTAATTTCTTAATTCGGGGGGGAGGGGCAAAAAGTAGAAGAAACATCTATCAGCTGCCTTCTGCATTCCCCCTACCAGGGATCAAGCTCAAAACCAGGGCATGTGCCCTCACTGGGAATGGAACTGCAACCTCCTGGCAACTGAGCCACACAGGCTGGGCAAGAGAAGGTTTTTTCTTCTTACATTTGTTTATTTAAGAATCAGTAGAGATTCATGAATACTTTTTAAAAGTTGTTACAATTCATTTATATCATTCCTTTTGATGGTGCTCCAACTGTACCAGATGGGCCTGAGGGAGCCTATTTAAAGCCACTCCTGTATTCTTTGATCTTTTTCCATCAGTTTTAGGTCACACCTTTCATTCCCAACACAATCAGATGTTCTTGGTCCATGTATACTTTCCATGCCCAAGTCCTGAAATCAGCCACTTTTTCAAGACAAAGAGCAGGAATTTGCTTACACACACTAATTTGAGGTAGAGTCCTTGCAGTTTACTCTCAGAAAAGGAGGGCCTCTGAAGTTGAGCATTTAAAAAAATTTTTTTTTTTTTTTTTTTTTTTTTTAATCCTCACCCGAGGATATTTTTTCCATTTTTTTTGTACAGATAGAGTGGGAGGGAGAGAGAGGAAGGGAGAGAGAGAGAGAAACATCGACATGAAGGGACACATCGAGTGGCTGCCACCCGCACGACCAACCAGGGCCGGGGACAAACTGCAACCGAAGTACGTGCCCTTAGCGGGAACCGAACCCGGGACTCTCTGGTCCACAGGCCGATGCTCCAACCACTGAGCCTAACTGGCCAGGGCTTCTTTATTGATTTTAGAGAGAGAAAGGGAGAGGCAGAGATAGAAACATTGATGAGAGAGGGCATTGATTGGTTGCCTCCTGCATGCCCCCCACTGGGGACTGGGCCCACAACCTGGGCACGTGCCCCGACTGGAATTGAACCAGCGACCTCTTGGTGCATGGGTTGATGCCCATCCCCTGAGCCATACTGGCCGGGCTGAAGTTGAGCATTTTTACCCCAAGACCTTCTTTCCCATATTTCCTTTCTTAAATTGAGATAAACTTTGTAATTATAAATATCATCAAAAACATAGTGATTAAAAACAAAAGACATCAGTGATAGAAGTATGTAACATTCAGGATTATTATAAGGACTTTTCCTCCAACTACTTTGGTGAGTCATAATTTACTGATTAGGGATGTTTTACACCCAGAACATCAGCTCAGATTTAACTGTAATCTGTTAGCTCTGGCTGGCGTTGCTCAGTGGTTAGAGCATAAGCCCAGGCACCGGAGTGTCACAGGTTTAATTCCCAGTCAAGGGCATATACCTGGCTTGCAGGTTCCATCCCAGTCCCAGTTGGGGCACATGCCGGAGGCAACCAGTCAATGTGTCTCTCATATTGATGTTTCTCTCTTTTTTCCTTTCTCCCTTCCTTCCACTCTCTCTAAAAGTCAATGGAAAAAATATCCTTGGGTGAGGATTAACAACAACAAAATATTGTTATATCTAGGAGTAATTTCATTTAATCTGGGAAATGATTTGCCTTAAAGGCCTCCCAGTACTGATGGGAGTTCAGCTACATGTAATTTGGGATGGAGAAATGTGAAATCTAGAAAGAGGATCATCTTTTTTTAAATTCTCACCCGAGGATATTTTTCCGTTTATCATCAGAGTAGGAGGGAGAGAGAGAGAGAGAGAGAAACATCAATCGGTTGCCTTCCATATGCACCCCAACGGGAAACTGAACCCACAACCTGCGTTATATGCCCTGACTGGAAATCAAACCTGCCACCTTTTGGTGTTTGGGACAACGCTCCAATTAGCCGAGCCACACTGGCCAGGGCAATACAGAATTTTATTTTAAACTATAGTCACTATTGCTATACATTACATCCCCATCTTACATGGGCATTTTGTACCTTTTGACTTCTGTCACCCATCTCGCTCACTCTCCACTCCACCTCTGGCGACCACCAATCTGTTCTCTGTATCTGAGTTTGTTCTGCCTTTTTTTTGGTATGTGCCCCTAGTGGGAACCGAACCCGGGACTCTCTGGTCTGCAGGCCGACGCTCCAACCGCTGAACCAAACCGGCCAGGGCTGTTTGTTTTTTTAGATTCCATCTATAAGTGAAATCATATATTGTCTTCCTCTGGATTATTTTACTTAGCATAGGGACCTCAAGGGCCATCTATGTTATTGTAAAGAGCACGATTTCCTCTTTGTCTGAATAAATTCAGTTTTAGATATACAACATTTTCTATGTACTGTGAATGGACACAGGTTGTTTTCATGTCTTGACTACTGTGAATGCTGTAATAAACATGGGAGTGCAGATAACTTTTTGAAAACCTGCTTCGAT